TTATCTCCTAGATTTTATTTTGTTTTGTTGTTGTTGTTTTTATTTTCTCTTGAAATAGTCTTTGAGCATGTGGTCTAAAATGACCCATGGGGACTGACTACTTGAATGGATCATATTTGACTACCAGTATGTTGTGGGTAAGAAAAAAATATTGGACAGGAAATCGGGAGTCTACCATTTCACCCCCGTACCTGTCATATATAAGATATGTGCCTTTGAACGAATCCTTTAACCTCACTCTTCCTTGGACCTCTTTGGAGTCTGCATCTGACAAATGGAGAGTTTAGGTTAGGGATCTCTTTCAGCCCGAACATCCCATCATTTGAGTCTTACTTTGTATCACCTATAAAATTTAAGTTTTACTTGCAGATTTTGCAGCATACAGGACAAGGGCTTCTGTTACTTTTTTTTTTTTTTTTAAGAATTTTTTAAAATTATGTATTCATTCATTTATTTAAATTTTGGCCAGAGAGAGACAGAGAGAAAGAGAGACAGAGAAAGAGAGAAAGCGAGAAAGCAAGCCACCAGGTCCAGGACTCGAATCATAGTAGACCATGTGGGAATGTCCAGTGCCTTAACCACCACACCACCTGCTGGCCCCTCTGTTATGTTTTCTAAGTACAGACTTTTAGTTCTGTATTTGTGGTCATTGTCCTTAGAATTAAAGTAGAAAAATTAAACAGACTAAGGTATACTATGATTCCTATTGCATTGTTGCATTCGAGCTTCTAGAATTTCTATCTTGGGAAGAGACTTCAGATTTAACTCTCTTGAACCTACCACCATGACTGTCTCAAACTGAGAACCTGGGTTCTGAGCACCGTCACAGATGGGTTCTTCCTATAGGAAAGAAGTGGAGGAAGCATGAGGCCCAGGAGGAAGCCCCCCTTGTTCTAGGGGAAGCCTTGGGCAGCTCCCCCTGAGAACAGGAATGGTTCTGGACCTAGTGATGCCAGACCAGGAGGAGCTACAAACCACAGAGGAAAAGAAACCATCACCACAAAAACAAGGGGTAGCTTGAGGGGATGGACCTTATGTTCTAGAGCCGAAAGATACAGACGGGAAGAGCGATTTGTAAAGAAAGAAAGAAATTAGTAAATGTGTCAAAATTAGTCTGTGGCATCATTATCCTGTTTCTAGGAGCAGATGCTTTTGCGAAACAGCACGGTGCTGTGGAAAAGGGAGGCGTTGTCTCTCGTTCTGGGTCTGCCGCTGATGTGTGTGTGGTTTGGGGCCAGGCCCTTTCCTTTTCCATCCCTCATTGTCCTTATCTGTAAGAGGACAGGTAGACCTTCATGATTGCAGTAGTGCCTTCCCATCTTAACCCGCTGTGATGCCTAAGTACTAGTCGTTATCCTCGAGAAACCAGCTACTCTACCTCAGTGCCTGGGTTTTGAGAAATCACTCGCTGTGCCTAGTTCGGCGATGATCAACAAAGGGGTTCTCAAATTGTAGCCTACTAGTGACTTAATAACGGGCGAATTTGCAGTAGAGAAGCTTACGGTTCTTTGGGCTAAGACAATTCCAGGACAATTTCAGCCTGCCAATACAAGGTTTCTGAGTTTTAAGTTCAATCAACTTCCATTTATTGCTGCTGTGGAGCCCTGAGAGCACTTCCTGGAAATTTTTAGCCCCCAGATGATGAAGAAAGCTTTTCTTAGAATGCACCCACCATCCCTTCACCTGCAGACACAGATGTGGATGGAAACATCCGTGGTAGTTCTACAGAATGATGAAGGTTAGTATTGGTTGATGGAAGTTGCCCACTTAAATGACATAAATGCTTCCTTTGCATGCTTACAGCCGAGTGGCTGGCTTATATGACCGTGGGCCCACGCCTCAGATGGTGAGGCTGGACTGCTCATGGCCTGCAGATTTTGCTGTGGCTTTCATTAAACCTAAGCTAGGCTGCAACTTCATGTCCTAGAATTCTTACCCATTTGTTTCCAGTTTAGGGTTGGTCAAGAGGGAAATTTGCATGAGATTTAGAAGGTAGAAGTGAAGTAGTTGTATTTAAAAATTGTTTAACCACCTGGAGGTCCACGCAGGGCAGGCTCCTTTGCAGCTCATGCATGTTGCTGAAGTACTGACTCGCCTACCTGGCATGTGGCCCATAGCTTCTCCAGCGTTCCCCACATCCCCTCCACATCCTAGGCCAGGTGCATGTGCAGCTCCACATGGAAGGGCTCCAGTTTATCCTGCAGATCATCGTCACCATCAGGATGGGTGTTTGTGAGAGTCAGGCGTGGCCTTGTTGTCTGCCCCTTTATAGCCTTCTTCCCTCCCGGATATCCGAGCAACTGAGTTCAGGCATAACATCAGAGGCAGAGGCATAGACTGTCCGGCCAGTGCCTGCACTGCCTAAGGTCTAATTCCTCCGATCGCTCCTTTACATCACTTAAAGTAGTTCTGCTTCTGTGATCACAGGCTTTCGATGTCTCCTGGGTTGGAGAAGTGCCATGGGGGAAGCTAGATCCCTTACTGGCTCCCAAAGCATGGTACCAGACATCTTGAAAAGGGTTCCTTGGTCCAGGTAGAGGGACAGTGTCATGGAGGTTTCTAAAGAAGAGAGCGTTGGTATATGGAGGTAAAAATAAAGGGATTGGTTCTCACTATAGCACGGCCCAACTCATGCTTCCAGACTTCTGTCCTTCTAGGCTCCTAATGATCATTTTGCTTTTTTTACTACCTCCGAAGAAGACAGAATTATGTCACGTTAGTCATTTATGATGACTAATAACTGCATAGTTAAAAGGAGGAGACTTCAAAAAGTACATGGGAAAATGGAATTAAAGTATGAGTTTATTTTGGTCCCAAAGAATTTCGAGAGCTAGCAGGTGGCATGGTGGTTAAGGTGACTGGGTTCCCACATGGCCAACCTCAGTCCAAGCCCCGGATCTGGTGGCTTGAAAATCATGCCTGGCACATGCACATGTGTGTCCAAGATCCTGAGAGGAGAATGGAGAAGGGGTTGTGGTGCGCCCGTCCCCTGGGGGGATGATTTCTCATTTCCTCTCCCTCTGTATCTTTCTGTCTCACTCCTCTCTGGTGAATGCATGCGCCCTATGGCCAAAACCTAAAAAAGGAATTTCAAAATGCATGCACCATTTTTCATAACATTTTCAATGAGCCTTTTGAACATGCCTCCCTTGTATGACTTGATAGCCAGACGAGTGGTCTCCAAGCATTTGGACAGATATTCCAATACTGGGCAAAAAGTAATAAACAGTGTGGTTATTGGCTTCCAACTTTTTTGGACCTGGGTCTGGGTCAGGCTAGGTCACTTTTTCTCAGTAGTTGATCATTTGTTCTTTTGTTTGTACAAGAGAAACCTCCAAACCTGCTCACACCAAAGCTTTGGTTTCTCCCCGTTCACTGAGTCTTTGAGTTTATTGTTAGTTTATTGCTCATTCATTTACTCCCCAAATGGATCTGCACCAGGTGATAGTGCTGGGGATAGAATTGCAAACATAGCTAAACACACCCTGCCTCGTGGAGGTTTACATGTTCTTGGAAGAGACAGACATGCAACAACTTATTAACTGGTAAGTTCAGCAAAGAAGTATAACACAGTGGGCGAGTGTCTACCAGCAGGTCCTACCTGTTCCAGGAGCCCGAGAATAGCGAAAACCAGCTTCTGTGAAAGGGATGGGCAGGTGCAGGCCAGAGGCTCACCAGCACACAACCTCCATCCAGGGGTGGGCCAGCAGCCAGCTGGCTCCTGGCTAACAGATCTCTGGGATAGAAAGGCCTTTTCCTAGCATTGACCAGAAAGGCCTGAAGAACCTGGGAAGCCCCAGCCCTGTCTCCCGTAGTTGCTTCAGCTGCCAGGTCCAGTATCCTCAGAGGCCCAGCATCCTCCGGTTCTGAGCGTAGGTTCTAAGAGGACCTGATGGCACGAGGGAATGTTCCAGGGTTCTCTCTCTTTCTACAAGGAGACTCTCATCCATTCTGACTGAGAAGCAACAGTTTTTTGCATCAGAAGAGAGGAGGCTTCAGTGGGAAGAAAAAAAAAAAATACAAAAACTGCCTCTGAATTGAGTTCAGAAATTTCTCAAGAACCCCGATTCTCCTTTTTAGAAAGGTCAATGGCTGCTTAGCATCCCAGCTTATTCTCTGACTCTCTCCTCTGACCTGGTTCCTCTCCCCACCCGTCCTGAGGTCTGAGGACTGACCACGTCTCTTCTCTTTGGTTATGGCAGCAGCTAGCACCCCGCTCTCCTGTCCATCAGTGCTCAGGGCCGAGTTTTTTCCTCTTGCCCAGAGCTAATCTGTAAGCAGCTGTAGCCAGAGACATGAGGGAGGCCATGGGGTTAACTGGTTTCTTCCAGCTAAGTGAGGGCGGGCCAGGGGGCTGGGTGGCAGGCTGTGAGGAGGAGTGCACCATATCCGTGAGCTTTGCACTTCCTGAGAAGAGCGTGCAATTAAGCAGGTAGGTGCTTTTAACACTTCCGTAGTTAATCGCTCTTTTCTGCCTTCTTTCCTCGGCCTTGTGCTCCTAATATGTAACCTGATCGCTTCACTTTTTAAAGACTGGCTGGCATCTCAAAGACTATATGCATGCTGATTTAGATGTAGAACATTGGGGGGGGGGTGTTGTTGTTGGTGGTGGTCATCTGAATCCAGGATGTGAAAGAAATATTTTCTCTCTCTGCTTTTTTATTTTTTGTTTAATTCTTCATCTCATAGGCCTCCCAGTAACATTGGATGCAGGAGAAAATACATTGGCAGTGAAGAACAAGCTGAACCAGTTGTAGTTTTAGATCCTGTTTCCACACCTGAACCCCAAACCAAAGACCAGGCCGCTGAGAAAGATCCAGCTCAACACAAGGAGGATGAAAGCGAAATGAAACCAGAAAACAAAGAAGACAGCGCTGAAAAGCTGAGAGAGACAGATAGCTCCAGCTGCTGACCCATGAACCCGAAAGTCGATGTGTGTCCAAGTCCTTTGCCATAAGCACTTGGTTTGTTTTGGCCTGTTGGCAAGGGACACACATTTCCTGTTCCGGTCACTGTATGCAAAATACATAATCTTTTCTGGTGTCACTTTTGTAAGTAGCAACTATAAAGATAAGTAAGCTGGTTAGCAAAATACACTGTAGTTTTTGTTTTGTTTTGTTTTTTGATCTTTATAGGGATAAGATTTTTCCTAGTTATTATATTCAAAATGACTTCTTTTAAGAGGGTACAAAAAACTCAGATGTCGATACCTTTTTAGGAAATGTGCATACCACTCATCAAATACAACATAATCTTGCCAGTTCCGGGGGCTGTGATAATTGGAAGAACAGAATGGATCCATTTAACATGATTTAAAAAGCCCCCAGCAGATTTTCGCTTCAGATCTGATCCTCTTTCAGTGGAGAAACTGCAGCAGCATAGAAATGGTTGGGTACTGTGGCATTCAACTTATTTTCTAGGGTACAAAAACTCAGGAGCTGGCTTCAAACTTGTGGTCCCATAGTTTTGTTTTAACTCTACGTATTGTTAACTGTCGAATGAAAAATACATGCGACTCACTGTACTCAAAGCCTCGGAGGAACTTCGGTGAGAAGGCTCTGGTGGCTTTCCCGTGAAGGAAAGAATGGAATGGAGGCGAGCGTCCAAACTTTAACTTTGCAGTTGATGTCTTGGTAAGCCATGTGCCCCACGCTGTAATTGTTTCCCCATAGACTACCGCGGCACAAGTACCGTAGTTTATTACAGTTCTTATGTACAGTGAAGATCAGTGACAAGCACACGATTTTCTTGCTTGAATGCTGCTCTACATTATACAGGGGTTTTGGTTTTTTTGTTTTTCTTTTTTTTTAAGAAACTTAAGTGGTAGTTAGTCTCTAAAAATATAATGTTTCAGGCTACCACAATGAATAAATAAAATGTAATCAGGGATCTAAAAAAAAAAAACTTATGCAGCTTTTCAAAGTTGATTGTTTCAAAATTGGTGTTTATTTAAAATAAGTGGTAATGTACTTGAATGCACTTTTTTATGACAATGATTGAGTAATGGTAATTTTACTATTAAAGAAAGTGAAAGGTTTAGTTTTGTTAGTATGGCTCAGCATGTAGCTGTCAGGTGCTTCTCACCTAAGGGCAAAAGAAAATGATAGTAATAATTGCAGTCGTTGTAGTGTATTGTATTTTTGCACGCGTGCTAAGCATAAGCTTGATGAGGTGGGTAGGCAGGTAGTTCCTAAATTTGGAGATTATTCTCTTTCTCTGAGTTCGTTATGCTTGACTATTTCCATGTTCTTCCAGTGATGATTTTACAGTTACTTGTCCGTTTACTCATGGGGAATTGAAATGTACTGTTTCTCGACTGTATTTTTCCCTGAATAATTCTGCTCTATGTTATGCTAACTACAAACCGCATTCATTCACTCCAGTGAGCTCTGTTATGCTGTGATTTGAACTCTCCTCACCACAACTTATTAAAAAAGCACCAACAATTTCCCGAGAAGGGTTGATTGTGGTTATTGACACTTTGGCCTTAGTTCCTCAAGACTGACATTTTTTAATAGGAAAATTGTAGAAGAGTGCCAACTCTAGGAATTGTCGGTAATCCTCAAAATAGCTTATTTTGAGGTATTTTATTCCATGTTTCTTCTTGCTGTCCTCCTTCCTGTGTCTTGGTATGTCTACTGGCATGCCTCACACATTGGGGAACACAGAAATACGCATACTGCATTTCCACATTTCATTACACACACCAACAGAACAACGAGGTTCTAAAAGCACACTTATTTCCAGAGTAAGAAGTTAACCATTTGGCAGATTGTGTTGGCTAGACCAGGCATCATTTAGTAACTGGCATTTTTAAAGTGTACTTGTAATCGAAGCTGCTTGCTTTTCCTTCACCATGCTCACAAAGCATTGTAAATTAATTTGATAGGAAGGTATTCGATGTTGGGTATCTACTCACCTTTTGCTCCTACTGTTTTTCCCTTTCCACTTCAGTTTGGAGGAGATTTTCCTCTGCTGGGGTGACAGTGTCAACAATAGCTGGTTCCGGATAGGAGGAATAATACTTGTTCGGCAAGGTACATTTTATGCGCACACGCCTAAATCGTGTATATCCTACTTATACTATTTTAAACTTGGAAGGAACTTCACATTTACATCTTTCTTCTGTGTAAGAAGTTATATATTCTTCCTTCTGGTTTGGAAACCAACTTGTTCTTGTTCTTTCCTTTTTTAAAAAAATTTTATTCATTATCATTATTATTATTATCATTATTTTGGACCAGAGACAGACAGAATGGGGAAGTGAGAAAGCAAGCTGACAGTTCTGGGACTTGAACTGCAGTTGACCTGTGGGAGTCCACTGCCTTAATCAGCATACCACCTGCTTGGCCCCCTGCTAGAGACTTTTAAACTAATGCTGATGCACTTTCATACCCCCAGTGAAGAAAAACAGTAGCAGTGGGACCAGCAGTTAGCGTAATGGCTATGTTGCTGGACTCCCACGTAGTTGACCGCGGTTTGCGGCCCATCCCGGACCCAGTGGCTTAAAACTCACACCAGGCACGTGTGCATGCGTGCCCAAGATCCCGAGAGGAGAGCGGAAGAGAAGGGATTGTGGTGTGGCCATCCCCCCTGGGGGGTGATTTCTTGCTTTCTGTCTCTCTGTCTCTGTCTGGGGAGCGCACACGCCCTGTAGCAAAAAACCTCTTTAAAAAAAAAAAAAAAAAAGGAGGGTGACAGCCCTTATTGAATAATTGGAATGGTTTAGGCTGGCTCAAAATTTCTTTATCCCACATCATTTTTAAATATGGGATGTGACTAGTCTTGTTTATCTTTTGCAGATTATGTAGATTATGTATATGTGTGTGTGTGTATATATATATATAGAGAGAGAGAGATAGAGATGCATATATATATACACATATATGTTGATATAAAATCACACCACCTTGTTGCATCATTTTTAATCACTTTTTTAAAAGTTGTAGTATAAGTCATTGAGCAATGTATAACTGTAAGACTATTCATTCACTAATGCACTTCTTCATTTATACCCATTCTTGCTCCAGAAATGATCTAAGGAGACTTAAAAAGATCAAAATAATACAAGAAAAACTAAAATTCTAGTGGAGGGAATCAGGGAAAAGGGAATTAAGGGTAGGAAAAATAAATGAAGCTCTCTGGCGAGTACAAAAACACTTTCCTACCTGTCAATGCATTAGGCTGACTACAAAAACGTGTCTGTGCTTTCCGGCTCAGACGTACAGGATAAGCACAGAGGGCTTCTAGCGTAGTTAAGTTCTTATTTTCGGAAATGATGCAATTTGTAAAAGATGAGCCTGGAGTTGGCAACAGAAATCACTGGCCTCACTTACTAGATCACGCCCCTGAGAAATGGGCAGTAGAGCTCGCGTACAAACAAAGCCCCATGGAAATGTATGGCTGTAAAGCAAAGTTCACAGGCAGAATTTCAGGCGAAAACACCACCTATGTATTTTCCTGTATGGTGAAATGGAAAATATAAAGAATTAGCAAAGTTTAAGATCAAACCCAGTATGGAGACTGCCTTGAAGCCACCAGTGGAGTCATACTAATGACGTGGCGACAGCCCTCCCGGAAGGTGTTCATGCTTTGGCTGATTCTTCCACAACCTCCGTGGGGAAGAAGGACTCCGAGGGCTCAAACAGCTCGCTAGCCTCAGCGGAGACAGCCTCAAGTGCTTCAGTAGCCTTTTCAGCTTCCTCGTTATAGTAAAAGAACGTGTGTTCTTCACAGGAACCTATGAAGAGAAAGCAGCAATGAAGTTTTCTGTCTAATCCAGTGGGGCCACTTTTGATGTTTGTACATGACTTGAAAGGAGATCATCTTCAGAACTGTCCAGTGGTGTCACATCACCCCCAGGAAGGATTCCAGAACCATTTAAAACTGTGCCAGTCTTTGGTTATTTTGTGTATAATGTTCTGTTTGATTTGCATGATTTCTTTTTTTTGGAGAGGTTTTTGCTACAGGGCATGTACACTCGCCAAGCCTCTGTCCACAGCCCCGCTATATATCAGCCATTCCAGAAGGTCATGTTAAAATATGATGCAAATAAGGACCAGCGATGGCATAATGTTTACATTGCAGGACTCCTATGTAGTCAACTGTGGTATGAATCCCGGACCCAGTGGTTTAAACTCATGCCGGGCGCATGTGTGTACATGTCCAAGATCCTCAGAGGAGAATGGAGAAGGGCTTGGCAGAAAAGGACAGAAGGGAGGAGGAGGACCAGAGAAAGGCCAGTGCCATGTATGATTACAAATCACTGCTAATTACTCTAAGGCAGCTTTGGATGGTTCCAGTCAGGCCCATGTAGGTAGTGATAGATTTTTTGTTGTTATTTTTGTTTGTTTGCTTGTTTTTTAAGAGAGTGATTTTCGCTATAGGGTACATGCACTTGCCAGAGAGACAGCAGGAAATCACACTCTAGGGAGGGATGGCCAGGCTGCAAACCCTTCCCCTCCATTCTCCTCTTGGAACTTCGGGCATGCACGCACACATGCCTGGTGTGTTTCAAGGCACCAGGTCCAGGTGACTACGTGGGATTCCAGCAGCGTCACCATTAAACTATCTGCTGGTCCCTCTTTTGAAAAAGTACTTATTTTATAAAGGTAATATTATATATTTGTAGGTTATAGCATTTTAACAGTTGGATGTCAGTTTATGTTTTTTTTAATTTATTTACTTATTTATTTTTTAATTTGCTCTAGAGCATGTGTGCTCACCAAAGAGAGAGAGAAGGCGAGAAACCAAGCCGCTAGATCTAGGACTCAAGCCACCACTGGCCATGTGGGAGTCCAGTGCCTTAACCACCATGCCATCTGCTGGCCCCAGTAGTGATAGTAATCTAATGGCTGAGCTTTGGCCAAGACTCCCTACTCAAAAGTGGAGTGGAGAGGGGACCAGCAGTTAGCGTAATGGCTATGTCGCTGGATTTTCACGTAGTTGACCACGGTTCGCGTCCCAGACCTGGTGGCTTAAAACTCACGCCGGGCGCGTGTGCATGCGTGCCCAAGATCCTGAGAGGAGAATGGTGGAGAAGGGATTGCAGCATGGCCATCCCCCTGGGGGGTGATTTCTCGCTTTCTGTCTCTCTCTGGCGAACGCACGCGCCCTATAGCAAAAGTGGAGTGGAGAGATTTGTTTGTGCGTTTTCGAGATCTCAACATTTATTAACCACTACTGATGTCAGATAGATTCTCATTAATCCGCTAATCCCTTCCGGAATACTGAGAGGGCTCTGCTACCATCAGAGAGGCACTGTGCCTCCAGCCAGGAAAGTCCTTTTAGATGCCCTGAAGCAGCTGTTTCCCTTATGGTAAAGTCTAGCTGGCAATGTGACAGAGAATCTAAGGCTTCCCCAAGTCAGGGTGATATAAAAATAATCAGATGGTATGTGGAACATTATTATGCCTATTTGAAAAAACAAGCCCTTGTCTTACACACTAAACAACTCTAATTTTTGACTGCCCTTGCATGGTTCACAGTCTCCACATTGAATTTTTATTTTCTATGAATTTTAGGGTATCTTCCAAGATCCGCTACGTATGCTAGGGCCGGTCTGAGCAGCAGAAACACAGCTGGACCCACCAGGGAAGGTCCCAGGTTATGTCCCAAGGCCACGCTGTATATGCCAGGTTCCCGTGATCCGGGCTGGCTGGGGTGGATCGAGGTGTGAAGGTCCTATTGGGGGCTACCTCACTCCCTCTCTCCCCTCTCTCTCAATGAATACACCTTAAAAAAAGAAAGGGAATATCCCCAATTTAAGAAATCCCTATGTATGTTAAGTATGGCAAGTTTATAATTACAAGTTTATTATTAGTTTATTTTAGAATGTTTTAAAAGTTTCATTCTTTCGTGGGGGGAGGGGCATCCTCTATAGGGTCATTTCTGCGTGATCCTCTTGCTGGCCCTACAGGCAGCTGGGGTCGGGGCAGGCCCGTGTTAGGGAGACAGGACTATGAGCCTGGAGCCTTCCCACTTGGCCACCCTCATCCTTCAGTAGCATCCCTCCTGCCTGTATGGCCGTGGCTGGGCCATAGCATCACAGATTCTCTAGGTCTCTTTAAAAGTCTCTGTATGTTACGGCCTCTTTTTGGCTGTCAAAATAAATAATTTTAAAAAAAAATCAAAAACCCTGTTTGGAGTACTTCTCTCCAGTTATCCAGCATACGGGGTACTCCTAACCAGGCAAACTTACAAAGGCCGAGTTTCATAAAGAATTAGCCTTTCTCATGAGAACTTAGCCTTTGCAAGGCACGCTATTAAATGAACAGACTGCCGACTTGTTTTTAGAAAACAGGTTGTCTCCACAACTGTCAGGAACACCTCGGTCTTTAACTTCCATGGGCTGTGCAGAGAAACCTTAAGTATAATTTGGACCCTACAAAAGACAGGCTTGGAGATTCCAATCAATTAATTCTATTGAAAAGCGGCACACAGCCTATTCAACAAGAAGAAGGGTGAGGGTTTTAAACATTCAGGTAAACAGATAATCCATTAAGACCACAATATACATTGTGGCAAGTACCATCCTAGTTTTGTCAGCACTTATTTATGGTCTTTGGGTTCCCCTGCCCTCCTGCCGAGGGACTTCTATTCTCCCTCTCCCAATCTTTGTTCTCTTATTCACCGCTAAGTGAAAACAAAGCCAGAAAGCAGCACATACCCAGTGTTCCGCTCTGGACAAGCTCTTCTTCTATAGTAAGAAGGCGGTTGTATTTAGCCACTCGTTCGCCACGAGAAAGACCCCCCAACTTGATAAACCGGACACCCAGTCCGACAGCCTGAAGGGGGAGAAACAACTTATTTTAAATGGTGGAGTTGCATGTTGCTAAACTATAAACAATTCTTTAAGGAACCTGAGACCGTGGGCTGCTTGGGTTTTGTCTTATCACTTAATTATTTAGCTCTCCGAAAGTAACATGGCCTCGCGAACTGAGACCTGAAAGGCAAAGGCTGCCGATCAGGCGCCGTCCTGACTGGTGTAAGAGGGCTGATGTGATCTCGGACATTCTGGCCTCTCTTTTCATTTCAGAAGGGAAGATTGCGAGTGCACACCCTACTCGTTTAAGTGTGCTCATCATTTTCTCTGGACTTCAATTTTGCTTCTTTTTAAAAGTTCAAAGATTAGCTCTTTGCAAAAGGTAGCTGTCTGGGAGGAAGCAAGTCTATTCCATAAAAGGTTACATGACTTTCTCCACCAAAGGCTGCCTTTCTCTGAAATACCAATTTGTGATAAAAGCGGTGTTTTGGCAATTCTGCAATTGACAGGCATTCAGCACTCACCAGATCGACAAGGCTGTCATCACACGACTCTCCTTCTGTACTCCCGAAGACAGCGATGTGCTGCGTGTCTGGAAGAGGAAAGCCTATCCGTTTTAGCCGGTATAGACACATTTGGCATACTTATGAGGGCTCTGGCTACAAAACTCAAAATTTTCCAGAAATTTAAAATTTTCTGATGGAGAAAATTGACCACCTGAGGATCCTAACCACGTTTTTTATTGTTATTTATTTTTATTTAATTTATTTATTTTAATTTGACCAGAGAGGGGCAGGGAGAGAGAGGAAGAGAGAAAAATGAGAAAACAAGCCGCTAGGCCTGGAACTCAAACCGCGGTTGGCCACGTGGGAGTCCAGTACCCTTAACCACCACACTGCCTGCCGGCCCCAACACTTACATTTTTACTGCCTTGTTTTTATCTGTGTATCTGCTTTTCAGTAAATAAGGTGCTGGAAATACTAAATGAATACCATATTTTATCAAATTTAAGGTAATTTATTTGTAAGATTATTACACTAAAACGGGGAGGGGGAAGTGCTCGAATTAGATTGACGTATTGCCAAGACCACAGCTATAAATTTGATTCCGTTCTGTGGCTGTTCAGTGTGGGAAAATGTGCATCTCTGAGTCCCGGAATTTGTAGGTACAAAGGCGACATACTGTGGAACTGATATACCTACAGAGAGCTTCCTCTCTTCATCATGTAGAATTTTATTCAAGGGGCTCTGATATCCTCAATGTTTATTATAATAGAAGAACAGTGCTAGTAGTAGTTAATCAGTTGTTTGAGGTCTCCAAACCTGTTGAGATTTGCACAGTGTGTGAAGAGTACAAGCCATAGTTTTCCCTGTGGTGACAGTGACCGTGGTTGCAATTTTGCGGTGGGAGCTACAGAAGTAACTGGAAGAGGACGACAGAATGACTGCTGAGTGGTAGGCCCAGAGGAAAGGCTGTCACCCAGTCCCAGCTACGGCCTGCTGGGCCCTGGCCTGGGGACATCTGTGAGGGTGTCATTCCACTCCTGGCACCAGCAGACGCCTGGCTGCTAGTCTCAGATCCAGAGTCTGAGATGAGTGCTCTGCCTGACTCCTGAGACAAGCCCCCCCTGCCATGGGATTTATGTTCCCTGCACAAGATGCCGTGAACCCCCAGGAGGTTAGGGTCTAAGGGCAGATAATGGCCATTAAGTGACCATCCAAGTCAGTGTGGTCAGTACTACAAGGAGAACGTAGAGGATGCTCTGAGGAAGGTTCAGAGTAGAACAGTTGGGGATGGTGGATGGCGGGGCGGGGACAGGACGATGCTTCATTCAAGCGAAGACCAGAATGAGTAGTAGTTAGCTAAGTAGATAGCAGGGGGCCAGAGGAACTGCATGTTCAAAGATGGTGAGGTAGCAAGGAGTCTGGAATTCAGGGAACTGAAAAGAGGGAATGTGGGCCAGTGGGCTCATGGTGGGCTCGTGGGAGAGTTACCCAACCTGCCCAAGCCTGGTTTCCCATTGCTACAATGGAGATGATAATATTCATAAGTTTCTTGTAAAGGTTAAATCCATATCTAAATGCTTGACCTGTTGATGCTAAAAGCTGCTCTCCGGCACCCAGACCCACCAGTGTTGAGGCCCTACCTTACCCATCCTCCCCTTGTCCCCAGTATATCCTGCTCCTAAATGCCAATTGGATGGGAAAGGCCCAGCTTCAGCTGCTTCCACCATGCCATGCTCTTTGTCAGCCTGCTGGGCATTTTCTTTAGATTGGATCTTGTTGCCTGTTTTCTTAATTGCTGATGTAGACCTGTCCCCTGTGTGAGGTGATTCACTTCTTATTTCAGGTCCCTTCCAGATTTACCCAGGGGGATGCAAATTAAAGTGGCCCACTGGTGTGTGAGTACACTACAGGTGACTAACTTCATTTGAAAAAGTGATTATTATATCCTTTCTGCATGCCTAGCCTATGCCTATGTGGAATAAAGGGCTATGCTTCCTATTCTTAAAAATATTTAATTTCATTTGTTATTATTTTATAATTTGACCAGAAAGAGAAAGGGAAAGTGAGAAAGCAAGCCACCAGGTCCAGGACTCGAACTGCGGTTGGCCATGTGGGAATCCAGTGCCTTTAACCAGCATGCCAGCTACCAGCCCCTCCTATTCATAAGATGCTGAGAGGAATCTAGAGCATAACGTGATAGTAAATAATGGTGATTTGCAATACCGCAGCAATGCCATACGGGTTAAACACACTCTGTCCATGCGACTCTGTGACTGCTTGACACCTTGCCTCTGTGAATGGTGAGCTTTTCCTTAGCTTGAACATTGCGCTGTGTCTGGAAGCCTGGCTATGGCAAATGGGTACCCAATGGCCCCACAGTCCATGACTGACAGTCTGAGACCTGTTTTTCTTTTGTAGTTTTTGCTATAGGGTGTATGTACCAGAGAGACAGAAAGGGAAAGTGAGAAACCACCTCCCAGGAGAGGAAGGTCATGCCGTAATCCCTTCTCCTCCTCTGTCTTGGGTGTGCACGCACGTGCACCCAGTGTGATTTCCAAGCCACTAGGTCCAGGACTCGGAACTGTCAGCCATGTAGGATCCAGCACCTTAACTTGCACGCCACCTACTGGCCCAAGACCTATTCTTTAGCAGTAAGGGTTGGGGTATCTCTTTCGGTGTCTCTAAATTTAAAGTTATTCTGTAGGGCAAGCTCAGAGCCTGAAGCAGATTGATAAATATGCTGATGACTGTGTCCTTTCTGAAGAAATCAGGCCCCATGCTTCTATTAGAAGCTGGTAGATCAGTGGCCTTGGCCACCCCTTTGTGATAGCTCTCAGTAAAGGGGAAGGCCTCGTAAACTAGGGTTGTTACTGGAACATTGTGAAGTGAATCGGTAAGCTGCATTTTGGTTCCTAGCACTAACTCTTAACAAGGTTTGGATTTCCTTCTAAGATTTACTCTCTGCTTTTTATTAATTTTGGCTTCTTGTATCACCAAACCATATGAGTCTTGAGAGCCACACTTTTACTCACTGTCAATAAGATTGGTTATTTCCACCAAATCAGACATCGTGGTTTGATTTGTGTGTTTGATGATCAGCGCGTTGGATTTCGGGATGCTGAGCTTTCCGTGCTCTAGAAGTTTACAGATGCTTTGGGATGCAGTTCCAGCGACTATGTAGCACTTGGAACCAAGAGCATTATAGATGCTGTCCCACTGTTCAGTGTCCTGGGTAAATGGTTAAGAATTGCTCGTTAGGATGTATTGAACATGATCACCAAACAATAGGAATCATAAAGTACAAACATCAAAGTCATATGCTTTTTCTAAGGTAAACAAAATAGCTTTTTATAGCTTGCTGTAGGGCACATGTGCTCTCCAGAGAGAAAGGGAAAAGTGAGAAATCTCCCCCAGAGGGATGGCCACACTGCAATCCCCGCCTCCTCTGTTCTCCTCTAGGAATTTTGGGCCCATATGCACACACGCCTGACATGTTTTCCAAGCCACTGGGTACAGGACGCGAACCATGCAGTTGGCCAAATGGAATCCAGCCACCTTCACCACCATGCCACCTGGTTGGCCCCAAAATTACTTTACATCTGCACCTGAATGATCCCTGTACCATAGCCACACACATTAATACGCGTCATTGAACAGAAACATAAAGTGATTACTTTCACCTAAAGATCTTGTGAATGAAATGTGGATACACTACATTCTCTTTCTCATATTGATTGTGGAGATCTCTAACCCCAGGCTTTTCTCATCTGCTGTATTATAATACTGCGAAAGACTGGCTGGTTAGAAGACTTTTCTGTTATTTTTGTTAATTGGACAACAAAAAGAGTATGCCTCTCTCTCACTTTCTCTGCCTGTCTGTCTCTGGAGAGTATATGTGCCCTATAGCAAACTATATTTAATAAAAAAAAAAAAAAAAAGAAAGAAAAAAAAGAGCCTGCAAGAACTATAGGCCCTCTTTCTCTACAGCCTTATTTTTATTGGTGAGACCATTATATGAAATGAAAGGTTTATTTAAAAGCTACAAGTGAACCCCCAGGTGGTATGGCAGCTGGTTCCCACATGGCTCACTACATGGTTCAAATCCAGGACCTGGTGGCTTGGAAAACATGCCAGGCGTATGTGTGTGTGTGTGTGCGCCCAAAATCCCTGGAGGAGAAGGGATTGTGGTGTGGCCATCCCCTCAGAAGTAATGAGTGATTTCCCACTTTCTCTTTCTCCCAATAATGAAAATTAAAAAACTAAAACTAAATACACATACACACACACACAATACATACACACACAGGTATATATATATACAAGTATTATATGCATATATACATAGCAAGTATTATATGTATATATACATAGACAAAGTCATTTCAGCCATTGTGCCAGATTTCAACCTATCCTATTAGGAAAAACCATGCGAGCACATCCTATGGTGTTAAAAAAGCAGGGGTCAGAGCCTCAGGACTGTCGTCACGAGGCTCATCTGGCAATGTTAAGGGACTGAGCTTGGTTGGTCTCTTCAGAGTGCTGGTATGTAGCACAGGCTGTGAGAAAAAATGGGCTGAGAGATCCTGGGACCCCAAATGAGATCCAGCATTCATGTGGTGTCCAAAATCTAAACAGCTGAGTTATCTCAAAGATGGTTTCTGTTCAGCATCTCTGTTCGACATGTTAATAGTTTTCCAATTCGTAAAAATCAAGAATTTAAATGTGGGAACATAAGGGGCTTAGGAGAAGGGACTGTCTTCTGTGGTGTGGAAACAACCCAGGTCAGAGGCACCCGTTGGCAGAGGTCACAAACCTCAATAGCTCAACCCTTTGAAAAATGGGACTTTGTTACTTTTATGTATATGTAGTAACCAGATTTAGATTTTAAAATATTTAGCCTCGTAGAAATCCCGTTGCCAGAAGCACGTGAACATGATATTTGATTAACCTATTGAAGCACCAGCCAGCACAGCCGGGGGCGGCTTCCGTCAGTTAGGTTGCTTGTAAACACACAGGTACTCCTGAAGGGCTTGAGAATAGCTTGCTTCATTCCATAGACAGGCACACTCCTAGGTAATTGTGTTTCTGCTATTCATTTGCTTAGTAAGTGCCTTTTCCCCTAAATGCCGAAATAAAGCAGCTAGGCCCCAGCCCAAATTACAACACTTTGCGAATGACAGAGATCCAGAAGAATGAGATTTTATCCTGTGTTTTGTTATAAAATACAGAAGGTGAGTCCTGCTCACCTCCTTCCTGAAAGGATCGATTAAGGCGATAATGGAAGGGTACTTGTTGATCAGCTCCACGTACATGTCGACCATCTCGGCTGCGTTTCTGAGTGTGCCCACCGTCACTTCATACTTCCCTTTACCCTGATACGTGGAAGGAAGGTATTAAGGTAGAGGATAAACAGCTCTTCCAGTGTTCCGGATGTGAATCAAATTCCTCTTCATTTCATAGAAAAGATTGCAAACAGGTTCTTTTCAGGCCACATACACATGAGAAATCTCTGCCATTTCCCTTTATCCGTTCAGTAGTAACCTGGGGGAAATCAAGCCCCATTCCTCTTGATGCCCCCTCGAGCTCTTCCCACAGACCTCAGATGAAGCCTTTCACACAAAAAAGCCAATGGGTACAGAGTAGGAGGAGAAGAATGCCTTATTTAGGATTATGACATGTTCCCAGACACTAGGCCACCTGGATAGAGGCCAATAACATAAATTCATGAAACAGCAAACAAAATAACAATGCACACCTGCCCACTCTCTAGAACCCACCGTCTTTCAGCTCAGAGTGAACAAATAACTTATGTTTCCTTTACTGTAAATATTCTAAAATTGGAAAGCAGGGTTAGGCTTTGGAGATGCTAACAATCCATAGGAAATGTAAAGTGACTTCTGTGAAGGCATTTCTTTCTCATGTAACATGAAACTTTGAGTAATAATAATATTGTCCTTTGAGAAGAATTCTAGTGCAGCTCCATTCATTTGAAGTCTGAAAAGCCCCCCCCCCTCATATCATTTAAATACAGAAGTAAACAGGACTGAAGGGTCTCTGCAAAACAAAGCACCCGCACCTTAAAGTCTGTTCAGGGATGGCACCTGGGGTACTGAGGAACTGGGAGGGAGGTGAAGTGGAACCGTGGCTGTTTGGTTTGCTAATACCTTCCTGCTGCTGCTCATAATAGAATGGATTCCATTAGAATTAAGCAGGCTCCTAAGAAGTCCATAATTGAAGGGATTTTATACTTTTTTTCACATTTAAAAAGCAGCAAGAACTTTTAGCTTCTATAATGCAAAGCTGAAATAGTCTATCTTGTCAGTGAGGCAATGCTAATGACTTTGAACTAACATCATTGTATGAATTACCTGATATCAAGCTAATACATTTTACTGAATATAAGCAATAAATACCCATTCTAGTTAGCACTAGCAGTCAGTATATTCATCGTTCTTGGTATACGTTGCTGATGAAAACATGCAATTATTTTTCTTAATGGTATGCCTGGGAACTGATCATTATGTGAAGAATAGGAAATGACTTTAAACATTCCTTTATACACTTAGTTTCTTTAGAAAAGTAAAAGAACTTTTAGAAATGAGCCGAAATTCTGCAAACTTTCCTTTGTAGTGAAAGTTAGGATCACCGTTAAAACAGAATCCTATTTGGTCATGTGTCCTGAAGAATTTGACATTAATTACTAAGTTAACATAAATGCATGTCAGTTTGCTGGGCATTTTATAAAAGTTAGACACCGCATTTGTGTATTTGAAAATGGGAAATATATATACGTGTATAAGGCAGAAAACTTTTAATAGTTTTCCTGACATAGCAATTTCCTAAGTTTAAAGGTAAGTCATTGTATTACATTAAGGCAGTGAGGACTAAATTCATTTACTTTCTTTTTATTTTTAAAGAATTTTTGCCAGAGGGTGTGTTTAGTTACAAGAGAGGTGGAGAAAAGGTACCCCTCGGTAGGCTGAGGTCACGCTGCAATCTCTTCTCCATTTCTCCATCCTGTTGGGATTTTGAACACGCACATACACCCGCCTGGTGTGTTTTTCAAGCAGCTGGGGCCAGGATTGAAACTAAGCAGTCAGCCATGTGGAATCTAGTTCCCTTAGCCACCAGGTCAGAGGGCTAGCTAGCCCTAGTGTATTTTTAAATGAATCTGTTTTCCATTCTCTTTCCTTTTAAAATCCTTTGTCTAGGTAGTACTAACCTCGGCTGAAGTTTCATCACTGAGGCCCTGTCCTCCTAATCCAGGCTGTGGAAAATACTGTAATATGTTTAGATAAAAAAAAAACAAAAACCTACTCCTCCTCAACTTCAACAACTTGGAAATAATTTTATTAATATATTTATTTTAGGGACCAGCAGTTAGTGTAATGGCTATGTCGCTGGACTCCCACATAGTCGACTGCGGTTCGAGTCCCGGACCCGGTGGCTTAAACTCACACCGAGCACATGTGCGTGCGTACCCAAGATCCCAAGAGGAGAGTGGAGGAGAAGGGATTGTGGCATGGCCATCCCCCCTGTGGGGTGATTTCTCGCTTTCTGTCTGTCTGTCTGGCAAGCGCATGTGCCCTATAGCAAAAACCTCTCCAAAAGAAAGAAAGAAAAAAAAAATATATATATATATATACACACACACATTTATTTTAATCACCAGTGGATGCATGCACTCACCAGAGAAGAAGAGAGACCAAGCACTGTCCCCATGGAGAGTGGTTATGCCCCGATCCTTTATCCTGTTTCTACCTCCTGTCAAAATTTTGGGTACAGGGACCAGCAGTTGGCATAATGGCTATGTCGCTGGACTCCCATGTAGTTGACTGTGGTTCAAGTCCCAGACCCGGTAGCTTAAACTCATACTGTGCACGTGTGCATCTGTGCCCAAGGTCCCAAGAGGAGAATGGAGGAGAAGGGATTGCGGCGTGGCCATCCCCCCTGGGGGGTGATTTCTCACTTTCTGTCTCTCTGTCTCTGTCTTTCTGTTGAGCGCACATGCTCTATAGCAAAAAAACCCTCAATAAAAAAATCTAAAAAATTTTGGGTGCACATGCATATGGACCTGGTGTGTTTTTCAAGCTGTCAGGGCTGGAATTCAAACCATGGCCAGCCATGTGGAATCCAGTTTTCCATGCACAGAACTTAACCACTGTGCTATAGGGTCGGCCCATGGAAATAGTTTTAGGTGTTAAAAGCAAATCACAGCATAAATGCTAAGAAACACATGCCTAAAGGCTGTTAGGTTGTATCTACAACTGATCTACCTTTCAGGCTTGACAAATTATTATACTCAGCAAAACAGCAGATTGTGAAATTATTTTCCAATAGCTTTCATGAATGCAGTGCAGGTAATTCATTTTATTAATTGTTATTACCAAATTCCAATATATAATTATGACATTTTCAGTTATTAGTTTTTAAAATGACATGGTTATATTATTCTCTGGTCATTAGCTAATTTAGCTTTCTCTACTCCATTGATAATTGGATCCCTCAATAGTAATAATTTAAAAAAATAGGATCTGTTTGGAAACTATTCAGATAAACTCTTCTTTAGAGTTCTGATTTTAAAATCATGACCCTTAACAAGAAGTGAATGTTCTACGTGGAAACTTACATAGTCCATCAATTCATGGCCTGCGCAGTTGATGGCTAGATGCAGATTTGTTCCCAGTTCTAGCCCCAGGTTTGCACAGATTCCCTGAATTAGAAGCAATGGCTGCTCAATGGTGTCATAGTTGATGATTAAACAGCCAAGATGGGACATCTTGCCAATGATCTGTGGCTGCAAGATCACAAGAAAACGATACACGTTAAAGTTCTTGGAGTTTCCAATGATAGGCCTAGTCTATTACTGTTCTCGGCTCTCCAAAGATCAGGACCTTTGATTTTCAATCTGTCTTATGTCTATGCCCAAAGTCATGCAAGTGTCTGTCAGGCCAGGGCAAGTGCCCTATGGCAAAAGCCTTTAAAATAAAAAATAAAAAATAATTTTAAAAAAGGGGGAGGGGGGAGGGCAGCAGGTGGCTTGGTGGTTAAGGCGCTGGAATTCCCATGTGGCCAACCATGGTTTGAGTCCCAGACCTAGTGGCTTGCTTTCTCACTCTACTTCTCTCTCTGGCAAAAACTCATGTGAAATAATAAATAAATGAAATAATTCTTTAAAAAAAAAAGCCTTTAAAATAATGATAATAATTAAAAAAAAAAAAAGAAGGATGAGGACTTTGACTAAAAGGACGAAGTACTAAAGATGAATTTTAACAAAAGAAGATTTGGGGACCCAACTAACCCCAGTGAAGGCAGCTATACACCTCTATGCAAGGCCAGCCTTGATGTATCCTCACCATAAATTGCTTCTATGTAGTTATGTTGAAGCAATATCAGTGATTCTGAGGGCAGAAGGTGGCTGTGTATGTTTTCCAAACTCAGGAGCAACCTGGACTCAGATATAAACACACTCTGTTTTTTAGAAGAATTATTTTACTTATTTTCATTATTTTTTTTAACTGACCCAAGAGTGACAGAGAGAGAGAGAAGGAAGGTGGGAAAGCAAGCCCTCAGGTCCAGGATTCAAACCGTGACTGTCCATGTGGGAGTCCAGCACCTTAACCACCATGCCATCTGCTGGCACTGTCTTTTTTTCAAAGTGGTGATTGCACTTGCTAATTTTAAGAAGTATCTACCATTTTTTAGATACGAGGACCTTTTTTTTTTTTTTTGCCAGGAAACAAAGAAATAGTTGGCTAAGTTTTTGAGTATCGACTGAATTTTATTACAGAGTCTTCTAAACTATGAAAGCTACACTTACTTGCTGCTTACTAATGCCAAGTAGTATTCTAATAGGTTACATAAAACACATTTACTTCTGACATCAACCACATAAGAAGAGATTATTGTCGCTACTCTATAGAGAAGAAATCTGGAATGGATTTTAATAGAGACAACTTAGATCCAGAGCCTATGACCCTAATTCTGGTGTGGCTGCCTTTCCAAAATCTATGCTCTAACCTGTTTCTAACAGGGAAAATAAAGAAGCAGTAGTAAGGCTGATCACAGGAAGGGCTGATCTTGATCTAAGTGTCTCCGAACACGTAAGACAAGCCACTGGAATGAAGGGAACAGCATGGAAGCATGGAGAATTGGTTACTTGTCTGTCGTCCCCATCTCTCTCTCAAGGCCTAACGTCAGAGCAGTGTGCTCATTTGCACATGCACAATTGTCAGCTACTTTACCTACTGCTGTAGTCACTTATTTCTCTTCTCTCCCTGAGTCCTGAGGAGAAGCGTAACTCTTTATGTTTACCAAGTCCTCCTGTTTCTTGTCTAGCCCTCTTTGAACTTCAGCAGACCTTGAAGTCCCTGACATGAAGGTGGGGCTAGGATTACTGGCTTCCAGAGCAAACATGGAAAAGATGGCAACCTGCCACTGTCGGCGTTTCCCCCTGACTTCCTACTGGCTGGTCTGTTTTTGTTTGTCAAAGGTTAGAGATAAT